TATCTATTGATATCAACTACGAAATAGCCACAATGCTCAAAGTGGAATGAAATTTTGAATAAATACTTTGCTCAAAGACTTCCACACAATGTTCATGAAATGAACAACTATGGTAGATTCCGGTAGTCGTGCAACCAGCCACTCCCGTATGGGAATTTTGGTTTTGGAGTGTTTCTTTCCTTCTTTTCTACTCAGATGGCGTTGCTCTCATATTGTCTATGGAGGACGCCTCTGGGGGAATATAAAGCCGACTTGATTTTTGTTTGGCTAGGCTATATTCGCATAGTCGGCGGTCTTAGGACTGCTGGCTGGAGACTGTCATGCACTCATGAAAGTCAAAGAGCACGAAACCGGTCTGTAGGCGTCCAACGTGGCCTGGCTAAATCGAAGTCAATAGGCATTCAGGAAAGAATCACTTGTATCAGTATTTGTTTATACCAGTCGATGCATTGAGTTTGGGAGGATGTAATTCAATGTTTTGCGTGGCATTAGCCAGAAAAGTAGTTGTTTTTCTCCCGAAATCTACCATCGTTGTTCATTTTAATTGACCTATATTTTGATCTATTTGGGAATAATAATCGGTTTTATATACAAGAAACAATCAGTTTTATAAAATAAAATTTGACTTTGCTCTCTTGTTCAAACCAATGGAATATCATTGGACCAATGGAGCGGTTGTCCTAATAATTCGATTTAAATGCAGTTCGATCGATTGTCTATTTGATAAAGTGATGTTTCGACCATTTAATGTTTCAATCATTTGATTATTTCATCATTTGATTTTTTATCAATTAATTTTGATCAGTCGAGGTTTGCTTTCGAACAGTTTTCCGGTTACACCTAGGGATGATAGGGAGGTTCATTAGGTATCGGTTTTTTTTTCAAGTTTCATGAGGTTATGACTTCCAAAACGGTGACTGATACGAGGTCGGCAAAATAATGACATATGGGTGTATCAAAACAGACTATCATGTTAAAATATATGTCAAATACATTTTTGGTTTTCAATTATGAACAAATATCTGATCACTTCCAGAAATCGGAGTAAATATGAAATTCATTAGGTGTCTCTGAATTTCGAGTTATCAGCAATAACTTTTTGTGTCAAAGCTTCGACAACAACCTGAAAATAGTGAAATAGCACTTTATAACTCGCAGCTACCATATCAATGAGAGAAAGATATGGCGAGGATATGCCGTCCTTCGGAAGGGACTTTTATGCAAGGTGTCCCATGACGATTAAGGCAGGGAACATCTCGGAACTCGAGGGTAGTAGAAAATTGTGTTTTTTTCAAATTAAAGCACTTGGTGCAGCATTTCTTGATATAACGATACCCAATGAGCGTTCCGGTCACGTGACATCAGATTAAAAAATTCGATTGAGACAACCTGTATGTTTTGGGACTTCGTCCCGATGAGACGATATCAACAAATTTTCACACTTGTGGTCTAGACCGATTACTTTAGGAACTACAATTACTTCAATATATTTTCTCCCATGAAGATGATTACGACAAAGGTTTGAAACGAACATTCGCCAAATCTTTTAAGTTCATGGTCACCCTGTATGATTGGGCAGCAGAGCTGTGAAAATACTCTGAGAAAAATATTTGAATATTGAGTATTACTTACTTGCGGATATTGAAAATATTCAAATATTGAATATTTTCAGATGCCAAAAAGTATTTAAATAACAAATATATAAGTATTTGAATAGTTCAGAGTATATTGTTGAAACTTTCAAAGTATTTGAGTATTTTCAAAGTATTGGAATACTTTCAAAGTATTTGGAGTATATCGAAAGTATCTAAATACGCTGAAAGTATTTGAATTTTTATTGAGTATTCGAGTATTTCCAATGTATTTGAATACTTCCAAAGTATTTGAATGCTTCCAAAGTTAAATACATCCAAAGTATTCAAATATTCTCAAGGATTTGAATGGACTCATGTAACTTGAGCATTTTTGCCGTTTTCAATCACCTTGTGTATAATGTAGATTTGAGTAGTTGAGTCAGTTTCCATAGCAAAAGTATGAAAAAATAAATGATGTTTTGTACCTACTGCACTGAGAAGGCGTCAATTTTTCGAAAGTCGACATCACTAGGAAAGAGTGATGTCTGATAAATATTTATTTTTACTCGATTTCTTTGGGTTTTCTATCCTCGTCTCTGAGAATGTATGAATTATCATTGTTAGATTGATGAAATAAATTCACCATTCACTTTATTGGATGTTGAATGTGGAGGTCTCTGATATCATCTCAGAATCTGAAAAGCTTGAGTCCACAGGATGTTTCATTTTAGAAGATGATATCATAGCAGTGATGGCCGTGAGTCAGAATCTAAATATTTAATTATTTTCGGAGTATTTAAATACTCCTAAGTATTCAAATAGTTCCATAGTATTGGAATATTTTACGAGTATCTAAATACTTTTGACATATTTGAATACGTTCGAGAATTTAAATACTCCGAACGTATTTAAATACTCCAGATATATTTAACTACTTTGCGAATCTATTTGCAAATACTAAGTTATAAATATATTCCAACAAATATGTATAAGTTTAAATATAATTACCTGAACCAGAAAGTATTCGAGTACTTGGTTCTTAAATAATAATAATAATAATATAAGTATTTGTAAATACAATTAATGCTCAGCTCTTTTGGCAGTCCAATATTTTTTGTGGTGCTCCAACCGAAGCAAAATTATCATAATCAATTATATTCATATTTTATAAAAAGTCGTAGTCAAAAAACATGAAAATCCTAAGGAAGATAGATTTTTGTAATCTCGATTAAAAAGTTGCAGCGGTCATTTAGAGCGCTTATACATACCTGCCAACCGCGACATGTTTTCTGAAGATGAGTGTACGCTGTGGTATTGACAGATTCATCACCAACTGTACTCAACTGTCAGACTGTATTAATTTGTTCGACGGTCATTCAAAATGCCACCCCTTTTTGATACTAGTGAGTATATGGTGATATGCTGCTTATTTATGGTGAATGTGAAAGAGATTTATATACAGGGTGTCCGCTAAAAGGAGGTCAATCCATTAACCATATATTCCTTGAACAAAAACAATATGAGTTTCTAGATACCATTTTTCATTTTATCCCTTCATATTCGATATACAGGGTGTCAAAGTTAGAAATTAAACTAAACGTGTTGAATTTTTATTATTATTTTTTTTTTTTGTAAAAATTATTTCAATACATTCGCTCTGAGCACCCGGTATTTCTTTTCGTACGTATAAAGTCACGCCCTCTTCCAATTTCTACGAAATAAATAGGAGTATGTGAACATTATGAGATTATCGTTAGCCGCATAGGCATCAAACAATAACCAGTACTTTTCGAATTATCTCAAAAACAAATAATTTTATCGAAATCTTACAAGAGACAATAAATACTCAAAAATGTTTAAACACTTGAAGAAAAATAGATAGGAAGTCATTAGCGCACGTACACCAAAAATATGGGGGTAAATGTGTACTTGACCCCCAGTATTTTGAATATTTGACAGTTATTTTCTGTTTTGTTTTCCTCACACAATGTAACTCTTTGTGCTGAAGTAATGTACCAATTTTGAGATTGTAATCTTATTGAATACGCGAGTAATTGAAAGAAAACAGTTTAAAATTTCCAACTTTGACACCCTGTATATCGAATATGAAGTGCTTAAATGAAAAATGGTATTTAGAAACTCATATTGTTTTTGTTCAAGGAATATATGGTCAATAGATTGACCTCCTTTTAGCGGACACCCTGTATATTTCGTTATTCTAATCGCCGAGCCCCAGGAACAGAAGTTACTACTCTAGTTCTCATAAATCAATTGTTTTGGGCCACGAGTGTGATAGTGCCAAAATATACATAAATATACAGGTTGTCTGATTTAAAATTTTCTGAATCTGATGTCAAGTGACCGAAAACCCCAATCTCATTGGTAACATAATATCAAAAATGCTGCACCAGTTGCTCAAATCCAAAACCCCAAAATTACAATTTCCTACTATACTCTCGAGTTCCAAGATATCCCCTCTCTTAATCGTCGTGGGGGACCGTATACAGGGTGTATCTAAATAACACAAACAAAATTCGAGGGGCGATTTTTTGTAATATTCTAGCAAACAAAGATAGCAAATAAAGTTCATGTAAACATGTGTCCCAACTTGCTCCGTTATTGAGATACAGGATGTTGAAGTTGGAAGTATCAATTGTTTTTATTTATGACCCTCCTGTATAAGGTCATGGTTAGTATGGTTGAAGACTGAGAAAGTCCCAAAATTCCAAAATGATTCTAATTGGGATTATTGAGTGATCTCAATGGAAGTCTTGAAAACACGCCTACATTGAAATTTGGAATCAAAGCGAATTTTTCATTGTTTCCTCAAAAATTGAGCTAGATACAAAAATTACACAGAGAATAAAGAAGTTGTGATTTCAATAGTTCAATCTAATAAGAAAATGAAACTCAGAAAAACCAATGGCGTACAATAACATCCACCATAAATAACAATAAATTCACCTACTGGAACGCCACTGGAAATATTATTTCAAATCTTATTGCACCAGAAGAAGCCTCATATTACTATCAACAAAACCACAAAGTTTAATTGAAGTTTATTGAGAAGACAACTGAGTCATGATTAAAAAAACGATTTTTCATGGAAATATTAATACCCTGTATTTCGAAAACATCACAACTAATCACCCCTTGAATATTTTCGGTGTTATCTAGATACACCCTGTACAATCATGTGCGTATACCTACTCAGAATCTGCAAGTGAATCAACAGCTTTCGATTTGATTTTTATATCATTTCATAGGATACTAATTGCTGACTGACTAAAATAATCTCATGATCAACTGATAAAATATTTTGACACTATTGACATTATTGACAGTATGTGATACATTTCAGACATAATCTACTTCGACGTAGGTACTAAGAACCCAAAAATAATCGTTGACGAACATGATTTCAACATGGCTAGAAAAACAAATAATAAAACCATGTGGATCTGCGCTGGATATTTCAAAACCAAATGCAAAGCTAGAGCAACAACTAGTGGAAGAATGGTTCACGTTACTGGAACTCACAACCACGAACCCAAACAAAAGAAGTCGAGGTTCACCAATATGCTGTCACAGGAAGTGACGATTGTCAGGAATCCCAATCCCCATCATCAGTACTAGTATGAATATAATGTCCGGTATTACATAATACTAAATTGTCACCGTTTCTCCATAATACTTTATTGTTTCTGTGTTCCTATTTATCAACAATGCTAATTTGGATAATATGGGTTAATAACATACTCTATATGTTTATCGAAGACTCGAACCTTTGACATGATAATCACACTACACTGCCTCAGCAGTTTGTAAATATTCTAGCTAAACCCCAGCGAGCACAAAAACATCTCAGAGATGTTAAAAGTACGAGATTTCAAGACATTGAACCTCCACTGCCATGTTCTGTTCACACATGAATAGAACTATGATAGAACAGCCAATGTCCGCCGCAGGCGGCAATTATCGAGATGTCCTTGATATGTCACAAAACTACCTTCTCCCTAGTTCTTTTTGAAGCATTTTCATGGACACAACAAAACATTTTCAATGCGTCTTGCGCACATTAAATTGCTGTAAAAAAACATTTTCGAGGTACTTTTCTGAAGCCTTTTGTCAAGATGAACTTTTGCATTAGGATTCCATTTCCCTTGAATGAAAAAATGCATTAAAAATTGATTGAACATAAAAATATTTTCTTGATATGAAATCACCTTCTTAATCGGTTTCTGAGTAGTGCTTACTACACACAGACATATAATTGGAAATAGGATTCCCAATTTTTGAAATGTTCTCCACAATGCATAATTTTGCAACTGCGGAGAAGCTGTGTATCGATAAATTCATACTTTTATATATTGATTACACTGAGGCACCGAACAACACATTTTGCATCTGATGGTCATTATTACAAACTAAATAAGTCTTCTAACACAATAAACTTCACCAAATTCCTTTCTGTTCGTTAGCAGCGTGATGTAAGCGTGACACGCTGCAAACGCGAATGCCAATTGCGAACAAGAAGAACAAAATCGAAAACAAATCAGAATTCATCGTATTTTGACGTTAGCATGAGACGTTGTGGTGGGGCAAACAAAGAAAGGGCACAAAAGAACAAGAACAATACTTTCAATATCCTTCTAAGACCTCTTTGGGAAGTGCATATAACATCTGCATGCCAACATTTTCAAAACATCCCAAAACATCCCAGGGATGTTTGTGCTCGCTGGGAAAGCTATCCATCCATTCGACAATACCCCCAAATTTCCGAAAAATTCATCTTTCAAGTCCGCTACCTATCTGCATGTATTGGTGTCTATCGAACAAACATGTGTGAATTATCTCTCTGTTTTGTATTTTATATAGTTCTCAAATCGATCCTAAGGAATAAGAAAACCAAAATAAAAAGAATAGTTAACCAAGTATCATTCTCATCATTCAATTTTCCGTAGCACAACAATCTTCTCTTCAATTATCGAATGTGGGCCAAAAATAAAAATTGTGAATTTATACCTTATAATGATGGAAATTTCGCGTATTTTTGAACAATTTGGTGGTTTGTGTATAGACTTTCAACCCAAAACAAATAGCAGCTGGGCTAAAATAGTGTCAAAAAACATTTTTAGTTTGCAACCAAATTGAAACTCACTTGTGTATATTCAAAAGGTGAGTTTAAAATGATTAGATTGATTAAACACATCAATATGATACTAACGAAGATTACTAAAATATTAGGGTCTTCCTAATTCTTTGAATGAACGACAAATCCCATCTTCAGTTGAAATGATCGAAATTTTCGTGCATTTTTGTGTGCCTTCTCGAATGGTTGCAGTATAGAACTTACACAGAAACAGAGGTCATGCCTCAATTTTTTTTCGATTCATAAATTTTTTTCATTGGTGCCATATTGTATCTTGAGCTTTCTTAGGGTTTGAACTATATGTATACATATACAGGGTGTATCTGAATAACACTAAAAAAAATCAAGGGGTGATTCCTTGTGATATTTTAGGAAATAACCTTCATATAAACATGTGTCCTAACTTGCTTCGTTTTCGAGATACAGGGTATTAATATTTCCATGAAAAATCTTTTTCTATCCATTTCTCAATTGTCTTTTCATCAATTTCAATAAAACGTTGTGGTTTTGTTAATAGTAATATGGAGCTTCTTCTAGTGCAATTAAATTCGAAATAATATTTCCAGTGGCGTCACAGTGGGTAAATTTATCGATATTCATGGTGTATGTCATTGTACGCCACCGGTTTTTCTGTGTTTCATATTTTTATTAGATTGAACTATTGAAATAATAACTTTTTTATTCTCTCTGTGATTTTTGTATAGCTTAGTTCTTGAGGAAACAATGAGAATTCGATTTGGTTCCAAATTTCAATGTAGGTGTTTTTCAAGACTTCCATTGAGATGAATCAATAACCCCAATTAGAATCATTTTGGAATTTTGGGGCTTTTTCAGTCTCCACCCATACTGAATTTTGGCACCATGAAAGCTTATACAGGGGGGTTATAAATAAAAATAAATAATACTTTCAACTTCAACATCCTGTATCTCAAAAACGGAGCAAGTTAGGAAACATGTTTATATGAACTTTATTTGCTAAAATATCACAAGGAAACACTCCTTGATTTTTTTCGGTGTTATTCAGATACACATGTATTTATATCAATGTCACCATTTGTGTATTAACATCTCATTATACAATCCTGAAAAGTGTCACTTCTTTATGAGACCAATTTGGAAAATCATACTGAGGTCAAATCAGTCGCGCCTCCTGTTTTGATTAATTCGAAGAATTTTGCGCCCCACCAACGACTTCTCCGTTATAAATGCCAAAGCGATTATGACTAATTCGCCTTTTCCAACGCCTCATATTTGTGTTATTGGATTTCATGCACTTGTTGCCTTGCAATCTGGATACAGAAATAAACTTGAATCTGATACTAACGGAGATTACCAAACTATAAGGATCTTCTTAATTCTTTGAATAGACTACAAATCTCATCTTCAAAATTGAATAGAAAATGGAGAGTAGAAAATGAACTCAGAAATCCAGAGCTCATATTAGCAGTCATCTGAATGTTTCTGTCTCATATGAAGATTGCCTCAAATCTATCTATAGCATATTATCAGTAGTAATATCCCTAGGACATTGATAATAGACGAGATAATTTTATGAAAATCGGAAGCTCGTTTCTTGGTACCAGCTCGTTTCCGAAGGCTGAGAGCTTTTCAAGATGATCGTTGATTAACCGTTTTTGGCAAACCAGGTACGGATAAATCTAGAAACTTCATGGTTCATATGAATTAACATGACCTACAAGTCTAAAATAACTCAGACGAGGTGGCGTTGCAGCTTCTACTATATAAGAAGTGGCATTATTTTCGAAATTTTAAATGGAATGCCCTGTATATGGAATCATTTTAGGATTTTTCATCACTTTCCTAACAACTTTATGTACTATTTCCCTATAATTATTCATCACTATTTGAGACATAAAAATTAATTTTTATTTTTATTCTACCAAACATGTATAGTTCTTCAATCTTCAACTTTCTACTCTCTAGTAATGAGACGATGAGATTTGAAATTAACTGGAATGATACTATGAGAATCGTCAGTACGAAGCCGAATTTTTATCAACCTCATACAGGGTTGTTAGGAAACGCAAATACTTTGTCCACATAATGATGAAAGGGTGAAAGTCAAGTCATTTCAATGGAGTACCTTATATATTTCTACATGTTCGTGCTCTACCTTCCAATTTCGGTTTAACTATATGTTCAGGTCATCCTACTTCGATATATTTTCGAGATAAACTGTTCCAAGCAAATGCATCAAATAATCCCGAAACTGTCATGTCATTGTTTCCATCATCCACTTGACGAAAGGTTTCATTCAACCTACAGTCTTGTAGTAGTGAACAGGGTATACTTTGCTATGCAAGGTAACTCCGCATTGAAACAGTTTTAATTTTTTTAAATTTGGGATAGCTACGAAAATTCAGCTGTGGATATTGGTAGATATTGCAATATAAAAGTCTAGCTAGATTCCGTGCGCTATTGTGTTGCGATTTTTTGTCTGAGATGGTTTGAGCAAGATAATATGTTGTAACGAATCATCATAAAAGAAATAAGAAGAGCTGGGTAGGAATCACCTGATGTTGTATGCTGAGCATATATGGGGCAAAATAAGTTCATCTGAGAGGATGTTGCTGAATTTTCGTGAAATTCTAACAACATATTGAAAAAATACGATCTAAAAGACGTCTCTGAGACCCAAAATGTACGTTTCAAAGAGTTCAAGATTATCAGCGATTATTAAAGTACATGTTTGATGGTTACAAAAATTTGAAATTGATTTTTATTCCCTGAACGGTAACATGTAACATATAGGTATAGGAAAATAGTACATACGTTTTTGGAAAAGTGTAGAGTACTTCATCATAGAATCATTTCACATACAGGGAGTTCCATTTGAAGAATCAAACTTGCTGCTACTTTCGAGTTAGCCAAAAACATCTTATTCTAACGTCCATCGTGAAAAGCTCTGTATACTGTATACAGGCAGTGATTATTGCGCATTTGAAATAATATAATTCTGATTCAATAACCATCAGCGTGTGACTTGGTAAGTTATCATATCAGCCAATCTCCAGAAGATATTCACTGTTAACTCCATCACTATATATTATAATATTATCAGACATTATCATATTTTTTCGATGTTGGACTCTCATTCTCTTTGTAATTTTTAACAGTTTGTTATATTTTCAGAAAAAATCTATTTCGAGTCAGGAACGAAAAACCCGAAAATCATCTTGGACTCCAATACTTTTTATCTCGAAAAAAGGAGGGAATCAAAAACATTTTGGTTCTGTGGGATGAATCACAAGACTAGATGTAAAGTGAGAGTGACGACTAGTGGAAGCGTGGTGCATGTCAGTGGAGAGCACAATCACCGTGTGAACCCGAGAAATATTTCGAATTTGGTTTCGAAGTGTGTCGTTATAATACGATCCTAGATTACTCGTATTGATAAGATAATCAATTTCTAGGTGTGTATTTTTTCATTATCAATGATTGTATGGGAGTGTTAACTGACTCA